GTGCTGGTTCTCCTGTCTGTTTCTATCAACTCATCTACTGTAGTAGAACCCTGACTGTGGAGGAGAACCTCATACAAACGCACACACTACATCACTACTGTCTCTTTGGTTGTTTTAACTGTCTTCTTCTCCAATGTGTGGATATAACTTGTGTTCATCGCCGTGCCCCTTAAATAATAATCCAACATTATTTCATTTAGTTTGAAATGGATGAAGTTCTGAGGGAGTCGGGAGCGGCAGGCCGGTTGAGCAAGTCGGAGATACGTGGGTTAATATCGTACACAGACTTTCATTCCTTTGTTTTGTTTTAAATCATTTCCATCATTGTGCCTGGTTGTTATTTCAATGCCTGTCTGAAGTGGCTGCGGCTATAAACCTCCTTTATACACACACACACACGGCATCGGCTGCATTTTATTTAAATGAATTCAAATCAATGAATACAATCAAAAATGTAAGGATACTGTTATTCTTCAAGAGGACTTCCTCCAGTTTGGGAAGGTGATAAACTCCTTCCAGATTTTCTAGAGAGTTGTTATCGGCCTCCAGGACCTGCAAGAAGAAAAGCTTTAATCAACCAGAAGCAGAAGTAATCTTTCCTACGAACGTCTACCAGCTGTGGGACACAAAGGAGGAACAGAAGCAGCGTGTAGGACATTTAATGGGATCCTTATCACCTCCAGGCACTGCAGCATGGCGAACTGAGGAGGCAGTCGACGCAGCTGATTGGAGGACAGGTTGATGTGGGTGACCAATAACAGCTGGTCCAGGTGGCATAGAGTGGTCAGGTTCTATCAGAAATAACAAAAAAGACTTTTCAGAACTTGTAAAAATCATAATGAGATAATCAAATATAATTTGTATAATTCTGAACCAACCTTGTCAGAAATACTGAAGACGCGCACTTCAGCGTACTCCATCTTCAGGATGGTGTTTTCGATCATGAACTTGCTGCACAGGTCGCTGTAGTAAGCCGAGCGCGTGGAATCCACTTCCTGGGGGAGAGAAGTGAGTCAGCCATCTTATTTCCTGGTCGGTGTCTTAGACCCGTGTGCGGGTTTTCGGGACTCACTTTCAGCGTTTGGAAATGAGCGAGCGTCTCCTTTTCGTACCCCAGAGGGTCCAACGCCCTCATCAGGAGGATGATGGTCAGTAAGCACCCTGCCGAAGGAAAGCAGACGTCAGCAAACTCACGTGTAGTTGTGTTTAATTTAAGAACGAGGAAGCTGAAGGATGTGACGCCTTCAAATGCACGTACACTTATTGAGCGGCTCCAGTTCCTGTAGCTGGTTGCATGACTGCAGCTCTGACTGTAACACCGAGGTCTTCTCTACGGAGAGTTCGCTCCTACAAAGGAAGAAAACACACTTCTTGCTCTTTAAAAACTACTAAACAAATGTGCTACACACAGATCTGCACACCGGGTAGCTCACGTTCTTCTGATAGACAGAGCTCTCTAAATGCTCGTGTCTTTGTTCCCACTGAGGTGAGAGCGTATGTGGACCCAGAGAGAAAGCTCTGCACCCAGCGTCTTCTATCAAAGCGCTCGCACGTCCTCATGCGGCCGCTACGAACAATTTAAACTAGAAGAAATCCCTGAACTCCTCAGAGAGGCGCTGGTATCGCCGCTGTGCCAGCGCTGGTCAGCTAAAAAAAACAACCAAAACACGATATGGGCACTTGAACGTCTTGTATACCCACAATGCATCACGAGCACATGTGACATATCACACCTGTTTCAAATCGTCTATCAAACACAGTAGTAGTAAACACATTATACAGCAATGATATATCACAGCTACAGAAGATTATAGCATACAAAGGAAAACACCAGTATATATAAAACATATACTCCATAAAGGCATCTGGCTAAATATATAAAGACTAAATGTATATATCACATGATATACTCATGATATAGTATAGTACCGCCGCTGTCGCAAACTATCAGTCAAATGTAAGAAAGTACATTATACACCAATAATATATCACAGATTTATATATAAAATGTTAAAAAAGAAATAAAAATATAGTATATACGTATATATAAACATGTAGTTAAGTACTGGCTAAATATACGCCATAAATACTAAATGTATACTACAAGCACACGTGATATAGTATAGTACAAGTAGTATAATATAGTACAACACCCTGTTGAATAATTAGTCAAAATGTAGTAAAAAAATAAATATAAATATACATATACGTATATATATACACATAAATAGATATATATATCTATGTTATATTTATTTATATTTATTTATTTATGTATATATATATATATATATATATATGTATATATATATATATATATGTACTACCTATTCGAGGCGCCTCTGTCTATTTATCTATTATAATAATTAGTAAAAGGGGAAAAAGTAACACTGAGTAATAAAAACATAAAATCCTCAGACGTACCTGAACAGCTCCTGATCCGTAGCAGAGTCCCGACACCAACTCTCGGTCCGACCTGTAGAGGTTAGAGGTTAGAGGTTAAAATGGAACAGACGTTGACGCTTCAACATGAAGACGGCGTGTAAAGATGGCCGACATGCATCACCTGTGTACAGAGCACAGTCTCTGTGGGTGTGTTTCTCCATCCAGTGAACAGTCAGGTTGTGTTCGTTGGTGATGTCGCTTACCGTTCCAGGAGGGAGGTCACAGATCTGAGCCGGTGTTAAGGTGTCTTTAGTACACAGGTGTGTACTGACTTCAAGTATCTTTATTTTAGGAATGGATGCACCGGTTCGATACTGACTCGTTCATCGATGCTGAAGTGCTGTTCAAACACTCGTTGGTGTACTTATGACGTTAAATAGCTCAGAGAATTGTATCACAGCGTTTTTTAAGATATAAATAAATATTTATATCATTAGGTGACGTGAAGACGAGCTCAGCTACAAGAAGTGTAGAGTTCTATAGCGTCAAGTCACCGGCTTCCTTTTAGAGATGTAGTGCGAACGCAGCTTCACACATGAAAAGACTGATCCCCGTCACATGGCAGCCCTGCTGGAGCTGTGGAGGATCAGCTGTAACCTGATGAGATAGAAATAAGCCATGACAGGAAGTCCTACGTCTGAGGTAAAGGGGTCATTCCTCTCCAGGACACTGATCAAAGATTTGTGAAGGAGCACTTTGTCTTTCTCGTCCTCATTCCACAGCGTCTTATCAACAGGAACAGAATGTTAAACCGGCTTCTTGACAGTCAATCATAACAATAATAAAATCTGAGGCGTAATCAGCTGATGGAAGAGGATACCCAGACAGGGCTGTGTTTGAAGCGCGGGTGGACGCTGCTCCACTCCACCCTCTGAGGCAGACCGTCGAGGACCAGCAGCAGGCCGACGGACTGCGCCTTCATAACAGTGATGGAGCAATAAAACAAAGTAAGAACGAGGAACATTTACGTCATGAAGCAAAGGAACGAGTGACGACGCTCACGTTGACGGGTCTGGAGAAGGCGACGGACACTCGCTCCTCCTCCCGGCTGACGAACACACAGCTGATCATCTCCTCACGTTCCGCTGGTAAGAAGACAGAAAACTGTTAAACATGAGCTGCACAAAAAAAACAACCTCTCGTACTTATTTGCACGTACAGATTTGAGATGGACTCACCTCTGCCTAGCAACCAGCGATAGTAGAACCAAGCGCTCTGGTCGTTTGGGTCGGTGAAGAAAGCATTCTGTACAAGCTCATATTCTGAAGAAATAAATAAAAAGGTGTAATTATTCCTGATGAATGTGTGTTGAACTACACAGCAGAGAGCTGCTGTTACCTAAGGCCTTACACCCTGAACCCTGAGTGTGTAGAAATAAAATACAAATCACGTAGCTGCAAACAGCTGCGACGTCTCAGACTTCCCCTGGAAACCCTGTGTCACATTGCTATGAATTGTGGGTAATTCCCTTGAGCAAAGTCTGCAGAAATGCGGACTAACAGAAAGTGTTGATAAAAGGCTCAAAATGTCCGATAGGGAACCCTTAAACACTCGTCCGTGGGACAGAACTAAACCCTCAGGGACTCGTCTGTGAGTGTGGAGATTGAGATTGTAAAGCGTCACACTGCCCCCTGTCTGTCGTTGTCAGGTATTGCTGACCACACAACCGTTGACATTCATCTGCTGAGTCGGCGGTCACCTTTGAGGAGCTGCTCCTCACAGACGCGGTGGGAGTGGGTCTGCGGGGAAGGCGGGAGGGAGGACCGGGGAGGCGACGGGAGCTCGGGAGACTCCGGGTGGAGCAGCGGCAGCAGGGTGCTGCGGTAGTGCCAGCTGGAGTAGTTGGAGAAGTTGGAGCCGATGAGACGATCGGTGAACGCCAGCTCCTGATCCACGGGCACGCCGGACATCTTCACAACCATCCGGCGGTAATCCCAGCAATGGACTGGAGGAGGCGGGACAACCGGGAGTGAGATGGATGGAAAGAGAGAATAGATATCAGGTCTAGATAAACTGCTAAAATAAATCTGCGGTTTCCTTGTTTTCTCTACTCCATCACTCACAGTTGCGGTCGTCCAGGCTCAAGCAGCGGTCGCACAAGCTCAACTCTCTGGCCCAGTCCGGTCGAGGCAGACGGGTGGAGACCCAATCTCGGTGGTGCCAGCTGCCGTACGACTTTGGGTTCACTTTCAGGCAAGACTCCAGAAAGGACAGCTCGGCCTCGTAAATCTTCTGCACTTCATCCTCGTCCCTAGAGCGGTAAAAAAGACAGAAAATCATAACTCTCCTGCGATGTCTCTGATGATTTACCTTTGATATTGTCTACAGGTGATGAGATAACTGGTAGTGCTCTAACTTCACAGTCTCCAGGTGCATGAGGATCTCTCTTCTGTAGTTCCACAGGGTTCCAAAGTCAGGATTGGATGATAGCAGCTGCTGGGTAATCTGGAGAGCCCCCTCGTCCCAGATGCCCTCTTTTCTCTGTCATACAGGATCGAGTGAGGAAGGTGACCACACAGAGAGAAAGAGAGACAGACAGAGACACAGACAGATAGAGAGACAGACAGACAGACAGATGCAAGGAAAGGATATATGAGAAATGAGCAGAAGAACAAAACAAACCTGAAACTGCTAAATAGGCCCCGTTTAGTCAATGAAACTATTCAATAAGCACTGAGCATGACATTTGGTTTAAATACTTTACTTTAACTGTCACATGTAGACTGCCACATAACGGATGCTGCTGTTATTCTTTATTCCTTGTCTCTAAATACGTTTTGACTTCCCTATCCTGTCTGTGGCCATCAGCCATGAGTCCATTTATCCCGACTAAAGACACAAACCTTTGAAAACAGGTCAGATGTTTATAGTTTACATTTATTAAAAGGCTCAGCGATTTCCTGAAACAGCAGGGCGCTGTGGTTTTTAACAGAAGTTAAATCAGCAGGAGAATTTGTGCATTTGTTGGAGGACTATTATTAGCTGTGGATTTAATGCATCTTTGGTGCTCTATGAGGTATTCACAGAAAGCAGGATGTCGTGTGTTTGACTATAATAAACTAATGTGTGTCCTTGGTAATGAAGGAACGTGTCCTCCACGTCTCACGGTGAGAGGGACAGCTACAGCAGACCTTTGTTCACACTGCAAAACCCCGTTTATAACGAAGCCGAATAGACCGTCGCTGCTTTTCAATGCAGCTTTACACGCCTGCTCTTATTTAATTATGGAATTGTTTGTGTTTTAATGTCATAATGTTTCTTTCATGAGTATATGCAAAGACAATATTCTACTATCATGTCAAGGATAATAGCGTTTTGTATCTTGTTTTTTAAAACGATAGCAAGAATATAGAGCCTCATCATGTAAACATATTGCATGTGTGCTATAAGTGTGTCTTGGAGAAGTGACAACCTTAGAGAAACAGGCGTCTCGTGCAGCCACGTATATCTTCAGCTTCTTCTCCCTCTCCTTTCTCTTCTCCTCCTCCTGCTGGGCTGTAGATTTCACCTTCACTCGGCCATGCTGTTGAAAGCAACCACAAAAACAAAGCATATACTATAATATCATAATAATCACTCCATGTATGAACACCGCACCAAAGCAGTGAATATATACATCAACATGTCATTCAGCAAATGATAAATCTCTTACCATCCTGTCTGTTTGTGCAGGAGTCTTCTTCAAAAGATCTGTTAAAGATGGAAAAGGAGGAGTTATATTCAGGGTCAGGTTAATAATAACTTAATATTAAAAGCTCAGCCGCTAGCTGGTCATCGGTGTTTAAATGTCTATCCTTCAATAATGTTAAAACACTGCACACAAACAGCCCTGAGTCTGCAGTTAGCATGCTAATTAGCCCCGTCCCCAGTAAACAACACTGAGCTGAATAACAATAACAGGCGCGCGCGACCGGAAGTATGTTTTCATAACAGACGAGCAGTTTATATCATTAAACACGAACCTGGTTGGTTTTTTACTTGGCTTGTTGTATATTTTTCAGAGTGTAGTTTGATTTGTCATGTCACTATCAGGGTTTCTAACGACTACAATTATTCACTTCCGGCTCGTGAATTCTACGTCACGGAGAGAGAGTCATTTCCTGACGGGGGTGCTTTGTCGCCCTCTAGTGGACAGAATGGCGAACAGCAGTGAAACACACTGTACATATACAGTATTATCAGTGGTGGAAGAAGTATTCAGTTATTTTAGTAGTAAAGTTAGCAATACTACAACGTAGTGGTGAAATGGATCTAAGTATATTTACTCGAGTACTGTACCTAAGCAACATGGGTATCTCAATTGTATGCTTCTTTATACTTCTTCTCTATTTGAATCCTTGTTACTTTTCAGATTATTGATAAAAAATATATATAAATCAAGTAATAAATTATGATTATTCATTTTCTTTTTTTTATTTAAAATTATTATTATTATATATTAAGCCACCCAGCAGAGGTTGTTCTCCATCACGTTCATCAGTCGCATCAAATAGCAAGTTTGATACATTATAAAGACAATATATTGTGTAATTATTGTTTATTTAAATCGCCAAAGAAAGAACAGGTCTGGTACAGTTTCATGATCAGAATGTTTTATTAGAAGGTGTACCTGAGATATTGTCACTTATAACAGTTTTATCATTATGATGTCACATGATACATCATTTAACACAATCAGTTACATTTATATCAACCTATATTTGAGATTTATTTGAAAACATCTGAAGTTGTTTAGATTTATTTCCGTGCTCTGATATTCTCCCATAATGTATCAGCACAAGGTCTTTACAGCAGAAACAATATTAAAGCAGAAGAATCTGTATAAGCTCTCAAGGTCCACAGTTCACTGTAATATTAAACTTAAATAATATATATGGTCTCCTTCCTTTCTTTCCTTCCCTCTTCCTTTCCTACCTTCCTCTTTCTTTCCCTCTTCTTTCCTTTTTTCCCTTCCTTCCTCTTTCTTTCCTTCTTCCTTTCTTTCTTTACCTTCCTCTCTTTCTTTCCCTATTCCTTCCTTTTTTTATTTCCTTCTTTCTGTCCTTGCTTTTTTTCTCCTTTCTGTCTTCCTTCCTTCTTTCCTTCCTTCCTTTGTCTGTCTAGAATCAGATTCCGGTTTATTGCCCAGATGGTAACTCACCCAAAACTCACCATGCCTATGAATCTGGTTATTATGACAGTAAACTGGAAAAAGGCACCAAAATAAAAAAGTTGTTTTTTCATCATGAGTCATGCGGGTCAAAATATTTACATGTTTCCTGGCAGTCAACCCTGGAAAGGATTCTTATCTCCATTTGGTTCTCTGACTGCTTTTTGTACTAAACATGAATGTCCTGTCGTCCATCTGAATGCGTTTGTGTATCACACGGATCTTTTTAGATTCCGGTTTCAATGGTATAAAGGTTTACTGGGAAAAGTCAATACTGTACAATACAAGGGGAATTAATGAACATTTATAAACAACTCTTTTTTGTGTAACAATGTGTTAAATGTGCTGTGAAACCGAAAATCAACGCCACAATAAAACCTGATGAACGAAAAAAGCGGCAAAAAACATCCCATTTTACCTCCTTGCAGCACATAACTTGTCATAGATATCTATGGAATATACATGACACATAATAATGTATGTCTCACAGATTTTAGTAATTGAATTTTGCATGCGATGGCTGAAACCATGAAAGAAAGTTCAGAAAATAAGAGAAGACCGTGACAGAAACTGAGGATAAATTCATTGTTTTTCAACAGCAAAGTCATGAAAGTCGATGTTGTACTAACTCGTTTGCACACACGGCTAAGATACGAGCAACTCACTTGAATTCATGACAAATTCAGAAACGTTGTGAGCAACAAACAATTCCCGTTCAAGAATTGAGCCAAAGCGAAGAAGAAAAACTATAAAAATGATGATGATGATTTTTAACGAAGGCCTTCCTTTTTCTTATACCATCAAAAATCCCGTGAATGTCAATTCTGCAAAGCTAAAATGCATTTTTGTCCTCAACGAGACAACTCATTCATTCATAGTCTTCGTCAAAGTCCAGGTCGCCGTGTGGCAGCACGGATCTGTATCCAGACGTCGCCTGAGAGAAGTTCAGGGTCATCTGATTATCGTAGTTTCTGCCGATCTGAAGCGTGGACAGCCAACCAAGAACTTTATCGTAGTGGCGGGTTGGGTTTTCCATTTGAGACAAAGACCCAGCGGTAGATGGAGCTGGTCCCTCTCTTTTAACTGTGAATGACACAAACAAACAATTCACTGTGACATCAACCCGCTGATAATAAAGAGAAGTCTCGACCCTTCAAGTGAAGCATCATGGGAAATTATTTCAGAATAAATATGAAGGTAGTCAACGCCGAGAGCAACAAATTCTCACACGCTCTTTGAACTTCTCTTGATGGAGTGTCAACAAATGGTCGTTATACATGGCGTCTTTTCAAAATAAACTTCCATCCTCACAGGAAGTTAGGTTTAGGTTTACAAAAAACACTTAGCTCAACGTATCCTCTTACCAACGGATTATATGATATCTAACGAAAAGTTACTCCTCATTTTTCGTGCGTTTTTCTTAAAAAGTCCAGCAACATCTGACAATTTCATGGGTTAGATTTTGGGAAAAGATCGTAAATTACTAAAGTAAGTTTCGGAAAAGATCGTGAATTACTTAATTAGATTTTAGGAAAAGATCGTGAATTACTAAATTAGGTTTACGCAACAAAACTACATCTCATGGGGGACACCGGAAGGGGCGGGACTGTGCTAGAAATTCGGATCCTATTTTCACTTACAGTTCGGGAGAAAGACGTCCATGCTGCCTTGCTGAAGCTCCGAGGATTTTGTTTCTATGTTTTTCTCCAGCTTTTCAATTTCTTGGCTGATTTTCAAGTTCATACTTTCCTCCTTCTCCTTTCCATCTTTCCTCCTCTGGACAATACCCTTGGCTTTAATTTTGGTCACATCACCAACTAAAAAAACAAAAGATCAGAACAACAGAACATCGATGGGAGAACACGAATCAATCATAAAACCCCATCGCGGCGTGATACTCACTCAGCAACTTGCACTTAGTGCTCGTCACACTTTGACCCTTGACCTCCGCCTGCAGGTGGAGTAGCGTCTTCTTGAAGCCCTTCATCAGCTCCAGCTCTCTCCTCCTGTACTCCTCCTCCAGACGCTGCTTCAGCACGCGCTTCAGCTGCCTCCTCCCGAACTTCTCCTCAATCCTCAGGTGGACGGCGTTCATCTCGGGGTAGAAGAGCCGGCCGCCGTTCCCCGCCACCATTTCCTCGATCTTCTCGAACAGCTCGTTGACCTGACCCGTGTCCGTCTTCTTCATATTGTTCACGACGTGGTATTTGTTCTCACACTTGTCTATCAGCCAACGAAGAGCGCCGTGCTCCCCCTCGATGTGCTCCTCCACGGATTTGTCCGCCAGATTGTCTCCGTACGTGAACAGGACCATGGCGTGTTTCCAGACGTCGGCGCCGAAGAGGTTCAGGTGTTCCTCCAGGGAGGCCTGCTGAGCTTCTCTGAACGTCAGGTCCAAGGGGACGACCAGCAGAACGGCGTGAACCCCCGAACGGCTCAGCGACAGGCCTCGGACTATTTCTTTGTCCTTCTCTTCAGTGCAGCAGGAGGAATCTCTCCGCCACCCCGGGGTGTCGATCACTGTGACCAACCTGCCGGCAACTTCCCCTTCCTCCATCTGACATGACTCATTCTCACAGGTGGCGAACACTTCTTTACGCAGGAGGTTGTTTCCTGTTGCGCTCTTCCCAAATGTCTTCTGGCCAAGCATCAAGAGCTTGAGCTCCGATAGTTCTTTACTGTCACCTGAGAAGAAGAAAAAACAAACGCAGGGTGAAAAACAAAATAGTAAATAAGAATTTGTCACAGTTAAAGAGCCAGTACGTAGCATTTGGGGGGATTAATTAGCAGAAATTGAATATAATATTCATAACTAAGTTTTCATTCGTGTATAATCCTCTGAAACCGAGAATCGTTGTGTTTTCATTAGCTTAGAATGAACTCTTCATATCAGACTATAGACTGTATAGAAGAAGTGGTCTTATGTCACTCATTGGTTTGTGGA